TCCATTGCAGGAGAGGAAGTTGTACCCGAGGACCTTCACTGCAAAGATCTTCCATTCTGTACTCACTTCCTTTGCCTAGGCTTTCCTGTTCCATAGCCTCATAGCTGTATATCTGCAGTGTGAGGTAATCTAAGGCACTGCTGCCTCTGACTGCTAGCCACCAGATCTCTCATGAGTTTTGGTGATATCAATATTGTGATGCTCATTGTTTTCCTTTCTGAAGAGGAAGCTGTACCTGAGGATTTGCACTGCAAAGATCTCCCCGCTTCATTCTAATTTTACTTCCTGTGCCTAGGCACTCCTGTTCCATAGCCTCAGAGCTGTATATACGCAGTGTGAAATCCTCTAAGGCTGGCCATAGACGAGTCGTTTATCGCCCAAATTTTTGGCCGATAAAACTAAAAGTCGGTCGTTGCCGGCAGTGATGCTGCCACCAACGTCCATGAAAAACAGACGTTTTTCGTGGCTTTTCGAGCATGACCAATAATACTAAATGAGAAAATCTGCGAAAAAACGGCCGACTGGCTGGCCCCACCAACGGCGTGAATATTGGCCAATTTTTCGTGCAGACGAAAATTTGGCCGATAAACAACCCGTCTATGGCCTGCATAAGTTTCTGCTGCCTCTGACTGGATCTGGAGTGAGATTTGGTGATGTCAATACTGTGCGCTCACCACCTTTGCAGGAGAGGAAGTTGTACCCGAGGACCTTCACTGCAAAGATCTTCCATTCTGTTCTCACTTCCTGTGCCTAGGCTTTCCTGTTCCATAGCTCATAGCTGTAAATCTGCAGTGTGAAAATCTAAGGCACTGCTGCCTCTGACTGCTAGTCTCACCAGATCTCTAGTGAGCTTTGGTGATATCAATATTGTGATGCTCATGGTTTTCCTTTCTGAAGAGGAAGCTGTACCCGAGGACCTGCACTGCAAAGATCTCTCTGCTTCATTCTAATTTTACTTTCTGTGCCTAGGCACTCCTGTTCCATAGCCTCAGAGCTGTATATATACAGTTGCAAGAAAAGGTATATAAACCCCTTGGGATTACGTGGAGTTTTGCATGAATTGGGCATAAAATGTGCTCTGAACGTCATCTAAGACACAACAATAGAAGAACACAGTCTGCTGAACATAATACTACACAAACATTAGATGTTGCCATGGTTTAATTGCACATAAACATGTAAACATTCACAGTGCAGGGAGGAAAAAGTATGTGAGGCCCTAGCTTAATGACTTCGCCCAGAGCTAATTGGAGCCAGGAGTGAGCCAACCTTGACTCCAATCAGTGTGATGATATTGGATGTGTTGCTGACAGCTGTTTTGGGTTTACTGGTTTCAAGAAGCACTGTCTGATGTGAACCATGCCTCGCAGAAAAGAGCTCTCAGAAGACCTACGATCAAGAATTGTTGACTTGCATGAAGCTGGAAAGGGTTACAAAAGTATCTCCTTGAGCCTTAATGTTCATGTGTCCACGGTAAGACAGACTGTCTACAAATGGAGAAAGTTTAGCACTGTTGCTACTCTCCCTAGGCGTGGTCGTCCTGTAGAAATGACTGCAAGAGCACAGCGCAGAATGCTGCATGAGGTAAAGAAGAATCCCAGAGTGTCAGCTAAAGACCTACAGAAAATCTCTGGCACATGCTAACATGTTTGTTGACACATCTACAATAAGGAAAACATTAAACAAGAATGGAGTACATGGGAGGACACCACGGAGGAAGCCATTGCTGTCCAAAAAGAATATTGCAGCACGTTTGAAGTTTGCAAAAAAGAGCACCTGGATGTTCCACAGCACTACTGGCAAAATATACTGTAAACAGATGAAACCAAGATTGAGTTGTTTGGGAAGAACACACAACACTGTGTGTGGAGAAAAAAAGGCACAGCACACCAACATCAAAACCTCATCCCCACTGTGAAACATGGCGGAGGGAGCATCATGGTTTGGGGCTGCTTTGCTGCCTCAGGGCCTGGACGGATTGTTGTCATTGATGGGAAAATGAATTCCAGAGTTTATCAAGACATTTTGCAGGAAAACATACGACCATCTGTCCGCCATCTGAAGCTCCGCAGAGGATGGGTGATGCAACAGGACAATGACCCAAAGCATACAAGTAATTCAACAAAACAATGGCTGCAACAGCACAGAATACGCCTTCTGGAGTGGCCCAGTCAGAGTCCTGACCTCAACCCCATTGAAATGCTGTGGCATGACCTTAAGAGAGCGATTCACACACAGACATCCCAAGAATATTGCTACACTGAAACAGTTTTGTGAAGAGGAGTGGTCCAAAATGACTCCAGATCGTTGTGCAGGTCTGATCTGCAACTACAGGAAACGTTTGGTTGAGGTTATTGCTGCCAAAGGAGGGTCAACCAGTTATTAAGTCCAAAGGTTCACATACTTTTTCCCTCCCTGCACTGTGAATGTTTACATGTTATGTGCAATTAAACCATGGCAACATCTAATGTTTGTGTAGTATTATGTTCAGCAGACTGTGTTCTTCTATTGTTGTGACTTAGATGACGTTCAGAGCACATTTTATGCCCAATTCATGCAAAACTCCACGTAATCCCAAGGGGTTCACATACTTTTTCTTGCAACTGTACAGTGTGAGATCACCTATGGTATGGTGGACAACCCCAGAAAGGTGGAGATCTACTTCATGTACAAGCTTCTGAATTTAAACACAAATGAATTTACAGGAAAAAAATGGTCGTGAAGCAATGCGATGACCAACATCCTCACTACTGCTCACCTGCTCTTCTCTCTTCTGTTTGCGCAGCTGTAGCCCCTCCTCCTCCCGCCTTCGCCTCATCTCATCTGGATTCAGAGATTTGTTCTTGTAGCTCTTCATCCGAGAGTTTTCCTTTCCTGAGCTCGTCATGGTTACTGCGGAAGGGAAACAACACATTATTTTTTCATATTCCTTTAGAAACAAAGAGATATATTAAGAAATCAGGAATTATGTATATTCTAAAGCAGAGACCACGGAGAATAAAGTGGTGGCTGTCGCATTTTTGTATGTTGCACAATATTTGCGCAGCGGTTTATAAAACGCATAATTAAAATTAGAAAAAATACAGTAAAATAAATTTTAGTAAACACAATTCACCAATATGTTTGTTAAAAATATAAAAGAAAGGGTTGCGCCAAGCCAATCGATACCAAACATGTCAAGCCTTAAAATTGAGCATGTCCGTGAAACCGCAAAAAATTACTGTACCCAAAAATTCTATATAGATGACAATATAGAAGACTTTACAGGTCATTAGTTTAGGGCAGGGGTAGGCAACCTGCGGCTCTCTAGCTGTTGTGGAACTACATTTCCCATGAGACATTGCAAAATTGACAGTTACAGCTATGACTTGCAGAGCCATGATGGAACTTGTAGTCCTGCAACAGCTGGAGAGCCGCAGGTTGCCTACCCCTGGTTTAGGGCCTACACTAGCCACGGCATGACAGCTGTGACCCCGGAAGTGATGTAATACATGTCACTTCCAGGGTCATCAGTTTCAGGTGGGATCTGGGATCACTTTTAGTGCTGGCTGGTAAAGCCGGTACCAAGGTCACAGGTGCGGCAGCACCAACGCTGAGCTTCAGTCACCCCCTTGTCTACCATACCGGTAATACGTCTACCTTGATAGACATGGTTAATGGATCTCGGATTGATAATCCTCTCCTGGGTTCATTCAGCTGGTTTCCTCCTCAGAAGACATTTCACACTTGTTGATCTAATGAGGGGAGTGAACTTCGGATGAGCTCTGGGTGCAGGACTCTCACCTAAACAATCTCCTCTGGATTGGGTTACATCCCGTGTACTGTACACAGTGACTCTGCACCAACCACCGGTCAGCTCTGATCACTACTGCACTGGGGCTCATTCACATGTCATATTCTTACAGTACAAAATGATGCCCCCCCCCCCCACACTGCACACAGAACGCTGGCAGATAAAAACGCAGGAAGCTGGAGGCGGATCACAGAGCTAAGATACAGCAATGGACGATTTCTATGTTCTACAGATTTACTGCTCTGGTTTGGAATTGAAACACACAAAACAGATCAATCTATCCAACAATGGACCAAAGCCAATCCACTTTTTTTTTCTTCTATATGTGGGAATTTTTTTCTTTAAAATGCACACAAAACAGATCAACATTATCCACTTCACCACCAACCACTTTTTTTCCACTGACCCTAATATAAGGATACCTTCCAACTGACCCCCAATGCCAGGAGCAACATTACTGACCCCCAACTGCCAGGAGTAGCCCCCACTTCACCCCCAATGCCAGGGGGATTCTTCCCACTGACCCTCACTGCCCCCCAATGTAAGCGAGCATTCTTCCCAACTGACCCCCAATGTAAGGAGCATTCTTTCCCACTGACCCCCCACAATGCACCATGAAGGGAGCATTCTCCCACTGACCCCCTAATGTAAGGAGCATTCTTCCCACTGACCACAACATGTAAGGGACATTCTTCCCATGACCCAAATGTAAGGAGCATTCTTCCCACTGACCCCAATGTAAGGGACATTCTTCCCACTGACCCCCAATGTAAGGAGCATTCTTCCCACTGACCCTGTATCCAATGTAAGGGACATTCTTCCCACTGACCCCCAATGTAAGGACATTCTTCCCACTGACCCCCCAATGTAAGGGACATTCTTCCCACTGACCCAATGTAAGGAGACATTCTTCCCACTGACCCCCAATGTAAGGGACATTCTTCCCCACTGACCCCCAATGTAAGGGACATTCTTCCCACTGATCCCCAATGTAAGGGACATTCTTCCCACTGACCACAATGTAAGGGACATTCTTCCCACTGACCCCAAAATGTAAGGGACATTCTTCCCACTGACCACCAATGTAAGGGACATTCTTCCCACTGACCCCAATGTTAAGGGACATTCTTCCCACTGACCACCAATGTAAGGGACATTCTTCCCACTGACCCCAATGTAAGGGACATTCTTCCCACTGACCACCAATGTAAGGGGACATTCTTCCACTGACCACCAATGTAAGGGACATTCTTCCCACTGACCACCAATGTAAGGGACATTCTTCCCACTGACCCCCAATGTAAGGGACATTCTTCCCACTGACCACCAATGTAAGGGACATTCTTCCCACTGACCCCCAATGTAAGGGACATTCTTCCCACTGACCCCAATGTAAGGACATTCTTCCCACTGACCCCCATGTAAGGGGACATTCTTCCACTGACCCCCAATGTAAGGAGCATTCTTCCCACTGACCCCAATGTAAGGGACATTCTTCCCACTGACCCCCCAATGTAAGGGACATTCTTCCCACTGACCCCCAATGTAAGGGACATTCTTCCCACTGACCCCCAATGTAAGGGACATTCTTCTTCCCACTGACCCCAATGTAAGGGACATTCTTCCCACTGACCCCAATGTAAGGGACATTCTTCCCACTGACCCCCAATGTAAGGGACATTCTTCCCACTGACCCCCAATGTAAGGACATTCTTCCCACTGACCCCCAATGTAAGGGACATTCTTCCCACTGACCCCCCAATGTAAGGGACATTCTTCCCACTGACCCCCCAATGTAAGGGACATTCTTCCCACTGACCCCCAATGTAAGGGACATTCTTCCCACTGACCCCCCAATGTAAGGGACATTCTTCCCACTGACCCCCAATGTAAGGGACATTCTTCCCACTGACCCCCAATGTAAGGGACATTCTTCCCACTGACCCCCAATGTAAGGGACATTCTTCCCACTGACCCCCAATGTAAGGGACATTCTTCCCACTGACCCCCAATGTAAGGGACATTCTTCCCACTGACCCCAATGTAAGGGACATTCTTCCCACTGACCCCCAATGTAAGGGACATTCTTCCCACTGACCCCCAATGTAAGGAGCATTCTTCCCACTGACCCCCAATGTAAGGACATTCTTCCCACTGACCCCAATGTAAGGAGCATTCTTCCCACTGACCCCCAATGTAAGGGACATTCTTCCCACTGACCCCCAATGTAAGGGACATTCTTCCCACTGACCCCAAAATGTAAGGGACATTCTTCCCACTGACCCCCAATGTAAGGAGCATTCTTCCCACTGACCCCCCAATGTAAGGGACATTCTTCCCACTGACCCCCAATGTAAGGGACATTCTTCCCACTGACCACCAATGTAAGGGACATTCTTCCCACTGACCCCCAATGTAAGGGACATTCTTCCCACTGACCACCAATGTAAGGGACATTCTTCCCACTGACCCCAATGTAAGGACATTCTTCCACTGACCACCCAATGTAAGGGACATTCTTCCCACTGACCCCCAATGTAAGGAGCATTCTTCCCACTGACCCCCAATGTAAGGGACATTCTTCCCACTGACCCCCCAATGTAAGGGACATTCTTCCCACTGACCCCCAATGTAAGGACATTCTTCCCACTGACCACCAATGTAAGGGACATTCTTCCCACTGACCCCCAATGTAAGGGACATTCTTCCCACTGACCCCAATGTAAGGGACATTCTTCCCACTGATCACCAATGTAAGGGACATTCTTCCCACTGACCACCAATGTAAGGGACATTCTTCCCACTGACCCCCAATGTAAGGGACATTCTTCCCACTGACCCCCAATGTAAGGGACATTCTTTCCCACTGACCCCCAATGTAAGGGACATTCTTCCCACTGACCCCCAATGTAAGGGACATACTTCCCACTGACCCCCCAATGTAAGGGACATTCTTCCCACTGACCACCAATGTAAGGGACATTCTTCCCACTGACCCCCAATGTAAGGGACATTCTTCCCACTGACCCCCAATGTAAGGGACATTCTTCCCACTGACCCCCAATGTAAGGGACATTCTTCCCACTGACCACCAATGTAAGGGACATTCTTCCACTGATCACCAATGTAAGGGACATTCTTCCCACTGACCACCAATGTAAGGGACATTCTTCCCACTGACCACCAATGTAAGGGACATTCTTCCCACTGACCCCAATGTAAGGGACATTCTTCCCCACTGACCTCCAATGTAAGTAAGGACATTCTTCCCACTGATCACCAGTGTAAGGGACATTCTTCCCACTGACCCCCAATGTAAGGAGCATTCTTCCCACTGACCCCAATGTAAGGGACATTCTTCCCACTGACCCCCAATGTAAGGAACATTCTTCCCACTGACCACCAATGTAAGGGACATTCTTCCCACTGACCCCCAATGTAAGGGACATTCTTCCCACTGATCACCCAATGTAAGGAACATTCTTCACACTGACCACCAGTGTAAGGAGCATTCTTCCCACTGACCCCCAATGTAAGGGACATTCTTCCCACTGACCCCCAATGTAAGGGACATTCTTCCCACTGACCCCCAATGTAAGGAGCATTCTTCCCACTGACCCCCAATGTAAGGAGACATTCTTCCCACTGACCCCCAATGTAAGGAGCATTCTTCCCACTGACCCCCAATGTAAGGAGCATTCTTCCCACTGACCCCCAATGTAAGGGACATTCTTCCCACTGACCACCAATGTAAGGAGCATTCTTCCCACTGACCCCCAATGTAAGGAGCATTCTTCCCACTGACCCCCAATGTAAGGACATTCTTCCCACTGACCCCCAATGTAAGGGACATTCTTCCCACTGACCACAAATGTAAGGGACATTCTTCCACTGACCACCCCAATGTAAGGGACATTCTTGTAAGGAGCATAACCCACTGACCACCAAATGTAAGGGACATTCTTCCCACTGACCCCAATGTAAGGAGCATTCTTCCCCACTGACCACAAATGTAAGGGACATTCTTCCCACTGACCCCAATGTAAGGAGCATTCTTCCCACTGACCACCAATGTAAGGGACATTCTTCCCACTGACCCCCAATTAAGGGACATTCTTCCCACTGACCACCAATGTAAGGGACATTCTTCCCACTGATCACCAATGTAAGGGACATTCTTCCCACTGACCACCAATGTAAGGGACATTCTTCCCACTGATCCCCCAATGTAAGGGACATTCTTCCACTGACACCAATGTAAGGGACATTCTTCCCACTGACCTCCAATGTAAGGGACATTCTTCCCACTGACCCCCAATGTAAGGGACATTCTTCCCACTGACCCCAATGTAAGGGACATTCTTCCCCACTGACCCCCAATGTAAGGGACATTCTTCCCACTGACCCCCAATGTAAGGGACATTCTTCCCACTGACCCCCAATGTAAGGACATTCTTCCCACTGACCACCCCAATTTAAGGGACATTCTTCCCACTGACCCCCAAATGTAAGGGACATTCTTCCCACTGACCACCAATGTAAGGACATTCTTCCCACTGACCCTCCAATGTAAGGGACATTCTTCCCACTGACTCACCAATGTAAGGGACATTCTTCCCACTGACCACCAATGTAAGGGACATTCTTCCCACTGACCACCCCAATGTAAGGGACATTCTTCCCACTGACACCCCAATGTAAGGGACATCTTCCACTGACCCCCAATGTAAGGGACATTCTTCCCACTGACCCCAATGTAAGGGACATTCTTCCCACTGACACCAATGTAAGGGACATTCTTCCCACTGATCACCAATGTAAGGGACATTCTTCCACACTGACCACCAATGTAAGGGACATTCTTCCCACTGACCCCCAATGTAAGGGACATTCTTCCCACTGACCACCAATGTAAGGGACATTCTTCCACTGACCACCAATGTAAGGGACATTCTTCCCACTGACCACCAATGTAAGGGACATTCTTCCCACTGACCCCAATGTAAGGGACATTCTTCCCACTGACACACCAATGTAAGGGACATTCTTTCCCACTGACTGACCCCCAATGTAAGGGACATTCTTCCCACTGACCACCAATGTAAGGACATTCTTCCCACTGACCCCCAATGTAAGGGACATTCTTCCCACTGACCACCAATGTAAGGTACATTCTTCCCACTGACCCCCAATGTAAGGGACATTCTGACCTCCCCATGTAAGGGACACTGACACCCCAATGTAAGGGACATTCTTCCTACTGACCATCACACTAATGTAAGGAACATTCTTCCTACTGACCATCACACTAATGTACCGTGATCAGTAATTATTATTAGGGGTTCCCCCGAGTCTGGAAAGTTATTTCAAGAGTTCCTCCACATTAAAAATCTGCGGCACATATCTGCATGTTGGAGAGACTGTTTACAGGATCTGATGCTTTCATACATTTGTTCTAATTAGCAGAGCAGCACAAACATATTTTCCCGGGGCAGCTGCTGCACTTAGATCTCACAGGTTGTCTTCCCTACTGGGAATTCTCCTCCCAGAGTTCATTTCCAGGCACATGCGAGAGCAGCCAATCAACGTCTGACTGAGCCGACACCTCGTGTAACCGCACCCTGACACTCTCTGCACACCCGCTGCACTCCTCACTGTCAGACAGAAGCAGAGGAAAAGACATATCCATAGAGAGAAATAGGGATTCACTGATACCGAGTATTTTCATGAGTGCTCCCGATACCATTATGGACGCAAATTGCACCACAAAAGATTAGCATGCGATTCCTGTCCAATTCGCATGCGGTTCCCCCACTGCTCCTGTGTGAACCCAAGCTTGTCATGGCCCGAGTTCACACAGGAGCGGTGCTGGAAACCTCCCTGCAGGCATCCCATGGCCAATGTCAGTGGTAAGAGATTTGGAATCCCCCGCCGCTTTCTTTTCTCTCCTTGCATCGATGACCATTCAAGCTAGACGGCATCTGATTGGTCAGCACAGTCCACATGACCCCCTTGGACCCAGTGGCTCTGCTACAAATGGGTATCCCAAATTAATTATCTGGGAAAAGTAGTATTGAGGGATCCATCAGTATTCCTGACGAATAATCTCTATCCCACCCATCTCGAAGCCGTCTCAGATGTGCTGTGTGGACATCTCTTCCATTGACTCCGGGGGGGGGGGGGGGGGGGGGGGGGGGGTAGGGGGGTAATTTACTGAAAATGACCTTCTTACCCAAATTCTTATATATATTGAGACAAACCCGGTCCGGATTCTGACAGTCCTTCTTTATCAAGCTAGATCAGCTCATCACATCTTTGGGCAGGCAGTATCTGTCAGGAACCATCGCGACGCATGGGTCTACACATGCGTAGGTGTCTGCCGAGACGTATAGGTGGCAGGGCACTAGGACCCAGGCGCACCCATCGTCTCGACAGTACTAGGCAGGCACTGGGACCCAGGCTACGCCTGTCAGGTGCAGGGCGGGCTATTTAAACTAGCCCTGCACAGACACTTGTTGCTGAATGGTCTTTGTATCCTGTTACCTGTGTGTGAGTACTTCTGATCTGGATTGTTCTGACCTTGTTGCCTTCTCCCATCCTGACCCCTTGGCTTGCCTGACTTCTGCTCCTGGATGTTCCCGTTTAGATCTGACCTCCTGGTATTGACCCTGCGTGCGACCCCCGACTATCCTTTGCCTACCGTTTTGTACCTTACCGATTCCGCTAGTTACCGACCCAGCCTGCACGACTCTGATTTAGCTCATCCATCCACCCACCCCGCAGGGATCACTAGGCTCCCTTACATCAGACTCCTAGCTCTCTGGAGTCCCTGTCAGACTCCTCTACCCCTGTTGGAGATACCTGGTAGTTGCGACCTGGTACTGGAGCGCTCCAAGTCCATCCCCACCATCAGGGGCCCTGGTGAACAAGTGCTCCGGTGCTTAGAAGTCCGGCACTCTGGGGAGGCTCTAGCTACCGGGGGATTGATAGAGTCTGTCAGGGTCCGTTAACAGTATCCCTGGCGTAGCTAAAACTACCCTCCAGTTGCCTCCCTCCCTTGTAGGCCTCGCCCTCCCTTGTTTCCAGAAATACTATTGGGCTGTAGTTTTGGTAACAGTACCGTGGTGGTTCCCACAGATGCCAGACAACGCAGCTTTGGACTTTGCTTGGCTCCTAGTCTGAACTGAGCGATTTGGTATTTTGAGGACCCCGCTCTAATCCTAATGTTACTGAGCCCAAGAAGACCAGCTTAAGGGTGTGGAGGCAACTGGAGGCCTCTATGAGGTTTCCCAACTATGGTTGTGATGGGAGTCAATTTGGGTGGGGGGGCTCATGGAACACAGCTTACTTCACAGAGGTGGGGGGACCCCTCTCTCAGCTCCCCATATCCCTCTTATGTGCAAGTCACCCTGTGTCTCTTAGGGGCAAAGGGTGACTAATGGACGCTGACAATGCGGTTAGAATTACCGATGGGACAGTAATATTTATCAGCCATATGAAGGCTATTCCTGGTTGTTGATTCTGAACCAGACATGTGAACTGAAAGAGAAAGAGAAGTGCAGCACTTCAGGCATCCTGAGGGCCCCATGTACACTGCAGCTGGTAAACTCACATTTAGGAGCTGTTCTGCGTTTTTTTTCAGCAGCCCCTGAACTCTCCCTAATGTTCTCCTATGTGTCCGTGTACACATCTTCGTTTACAGTCCTTTAAAGGCAGTTGAGTTTAAAGTCTTTTTTTGAACGCAGAAAACTTGCGTTCAGCAGTCGATTTTATCAGCGTTTCAAACGCAAAACGCTTGTAAATGCACTAAACGCAGCAAATCGCGTTTATAAGCGTTTGAATTTTTTTTTTTTTTAACTCTTCCAGTTCCCGATGCTGTCCAGAGCCTTTTTTCATGAGAAATGCATGCAAAGTGTTTTCAAGGTGCAGATGGACAAACACTGAACACAGGATGTTCCTACCAAGCTTGTGCACATGAATGACCAATTCAACATCTCCCCACCTTGGAAACAAAAGAAAATGACACTCTGAACACAGGACCTCTCCCATTGGAAACAAAAGATCCATTCACCAAGCCTTCCCACCACAAAAGATTGTTAATGACCAATTTACACCTCAGACCTCTCCCACCCTTGGAAACAAAAGATATGTTAATGACCACTCACACCTCAGACCTCTCCCACCCTTGGAAACAAAAGATATGTTAATGACCACTCACACCTCAGACCTCTCCCACCCTTGGAAACAAAAGATATGTTAATGACCATTCACATTCACCCTCAGACCTCTCCCACCCTTGGAAACAAAAGATATGTTAATGTTCAGACCTCTCCCCAATGACCATTCACACACCTCAGACCTCTCCCACCCTTGGAAACAAAAGATATGTTAATGACCTTTTTAATGACACACCTCAGACCTCTCCCACCCCTGGAAACAAAAGATATGTTAATGACCATTCACACCTCAGACCTCTCCCACCCTTGGAAACAAAGGATATGTTAATGACCAATTCACACCTCAGACCTCTCCCACCCTTGGAAACAAAGGATATGTTAATGACCATTCACACCACAAATTCCTCATGAGGACCCCTGCCAGGTGGCCTTAATGACTCCCTCCACCAGACACCCAGGGGCGTATTTACCACAAGGCAAGCAAGGCATTTGCCTAGGGCAGCATTTTTCAGGGAAGAAGGGATGGAATAAGGGACACACACGCAGCATGAGGACCAGGTGGGATCTGAGAGAGGCTGCGGCTGCTTCATGGTGTATGCAGAGCCTGACTCTTGTTCCCGGGGATGTCCGGAGCTGTGAAGGTCTTCTCTCTTGACGGAGTGGGGGGGAGATTGCCACTGTATGGGGGTAGTGGAAGGCTCTCTCGGGTGTGTGTGTGGGGGGGGGGGGGGGGCTGGGGTGTTGTTGGTCAATGTCAGGCTCTCTTCGTGGGGGAGGGGGGCGTTGGTCAGTGTCAGGGTCTCTGTGGGGGGGGGGGCGATTTTTTGTGTTGCCTAGGGCAGCATGAAACCTAAATACACTACTGCAGATACCTTTCCCACCCTTGGAAACAAAAGAAAATGTAAACGAGCAACTCACACCTAAGCCAATGTCAACACATACTGCTGTCTCTGCTTCTACTCTCTGTATTTCTCTGAAACAGTCTGACATAGTTAATCATTTACCACTTTTCAGTGCATTCTGGGCATTTCGGAGGTTCTCCTGTGCTTATCTTTAAAAAAAAAAACGTTTCTAAACGCAAACGCGCATTAACGCGTTATGCAAACGCGGCTAAACAGACGTTTTTTAACCCACGTTTTCCAGCAGTCAGTTTCCATCGTTCAGAAGTGTCCCGTGTACATGGAGCCTAAAAAGGTATTGAAATGAGGAAAAAAAAATGTGCCACACACTGATGTGCCAGCAGGAAGCAATACGTGGGGCAAAACTAAAAATTGGGTGGAACTCCGCTTTAACACGCATTTAGTGTGTTCTTGAGAAATTCTTCCTGGTGTGTCATTCCCATGTCGTTCCTCTGTCAGCATGTATGTTCTATCATAGTTACTGTCTTGTAATGTCATTAGTGAAAAAACTCAAACTATACTGTTAAAAAAAGATGCATCAAATGCAAGCAGTGCAGAGGGAATAATTTCCATAGGTATGAAGTCTCTCGGTGAATCATTACTGTATCATAAGGGCCAATGACACCCCCCCCCCCCCCCCCCCTACACATGTCCTTTGGACCCCTCCGATGTATTTTTTTTGTTACAACTGAAGAGTGCAAAATCCGGTGCAGCTGTGCATGGGAGCCAATCAGCTTCTAACTTCAGCTTGTTCAAATAAGCTTTGAGAATAAAACCTGGAATCTGATTGGTAGGGATGCACCAAATTTTGGGTGGCCGAAATGAAAAAAAGCATCGATACATTTG